CCATTCACTTGCAAACAGAAATAGTCTCAGAGACATAGAGGAAAAACTGATGATTGCTGTATGGGACGGGAGTAGGGATGCGGGAGAAGGGGAAGGGATTAGACAGCATAAATAGGTAACTGCAATATTGCCACAGGGATAGGAAAGACATTTTGGGGAATATAATTAATAATGTAACTATTTTGTAGGGTGTCAGATGGACACATGTCTTGTTAGGGAGACCACTTCATGGATGGGGTAGAAGCTTAATCACTGCACTGTACACCTGAAACTGATGTTGAATAATACTGTATGTCAACTATAACAGAATATATATATATATATATATATATATATATATATATATATATATATATAATCATGGAATGTGGAGTATAGTGTGGGAGTGGAGTCAATGGAATTGTAATAGATATATATGATATCAGAGGGCAGGTGGATTGGAGGAGGGGGTTGCTACTTTGTGAGGGATGAGAAGTATAACTATTGCATTGTTTTGTACACTTGAAACTAAAAAAAAGGTGAGACGTACTATAATGATAAAAAAAAAAGACTGTTCACTTGCATAGAAAAAGACATTTTCAGAAAATTCTAGGTTAATTTTTGAACATATTTATACTGGCTTTGCTATGATGATAGAGGACAGAAGTCAAAAGTATATTACTAAGAGTCAATCTCCATAACATGTCCTAGAAATTTATTTTTTAGTAATTTTCCATTGGATCAATGGAGTTGGGGCCTTAATTATAATTAGGAAGGTAGTGGTAAATTCCCTGTCCACCTTTATTTCATTTCCTCTTAAATAGGAAAACACACGAATTATCTTCTGGCCTATTGGATCTACTTGGGAGATGTATGGTACCAGCAAATTTGAGTTGGAGAAATTAGAGGTGGTTTTTCTTCAACCATTATTGACAAGTAACCAGACCATTGCAGCCATTGCCCTTCTAATGAGGCAGCTGTAAAAGTCCTGTGGGAGAGACATTGCAGAAAGAGCTTACTGTGGTTGACAGTGGAGTTGAGTATCATTCTCCACAGTCTGCTTTGATTGGGGCTAAATCACAAATTAGTATATCAAGCAAACACTAAAAAGAATCTAGTTGCCAAGAAAAATTAAAAAAAAAATATATATATATGCTAGTGCTAGTGAGGATGGAGAGAAGTGGGTAGATTCAGGAAATTTAAGATGTTGAACTGACAGCACTGTGTGACAGATTGCCTGCGGGGTAGTAAGGTGGGGGAAGGAATCAGAGATGATGGGTGGACATCAACACACTACATAATACAGTTAAATGCAGTTATAACTACAGTATAAGGCTTTCTATAATGTAAACATAGTGAATAATCATACAACATTTACTATGTTTAGAACCATAAAATGTTCTTATCTTCATGCTTTATTTTTATTAAAACAAGTTTAGAAGTAAAAGAAAATCTGTACCAGAATTAGAAATTTTGGAAGGCTTTTGTCAGGAGATTTTGTTTGTTTGTTTTCATTTTGTAATTTATTTATTTTAAAAACATTTTTGATGGAAAATTTCAAACATAAACAAAATTAGAGAGACTGGTGATGAAACCCGCATATATACTTCACTCAGATTCCAGTTATCAATTCATGTCCAATCTTATTTTATTTAAATAAAGCATCCTTCCTCACGACTGAATTATTGAGATAAATTGACATATAACACTGTAAGTTTAAGGTATACAGGATGATGATTTGATACATATACTATATATTGCAAAATGATTACTACAATAAGGTTAGTTAACACATTCATTACCTCACATAATTCCCTTTTTTTGTGTGTGGTGAGAACATTTAAAATGTACTGTGTTAGGGAAGAAAAATGTCCCCTCTGCCCTTATAGGTTCTTGTGCCTGATTTAAGAATTAAACTGATGTAAGACAGACTAACAGGAGAAAAAACCAAGTTTAATTTTGTACATATGGGGGTTCCACAAGAATATCAGGGCCCAGAGAGGATCAGGCACTTGAGGCATATTGTCATCCAAAGCTAAGGAGCAGGGGGTAGGAGTCCAGGATTTAAAAGGGGAGAAAGGTAATTCACACATAGACGAAAAAGCAAATGTTTGCTATGTCACGTGGAGACAATGAGACACAGAGAGGACTCTGAACAAGCAGGCCTCCTTGCTGAACGCCCCCTCCCCATGTCATCCAGTAGACCACACTTAGATCATATTCTTCATAGTTATGTCTGGTGCTAGCTCTTCTACCTGAAACAGGCCCCCTCTCTCAATTAGTTTAGGCAGTTAAGGGGGTGGTACAAAGCTCTTCCTGAGCCCTGTTTCTTAAAAATAATCAGCCTAAAATAATCCTCGTGCCAAAGAGATATATTTTGGGGTGGCAAAATTCTGCTCCCCTACCATTCTTTTAGCAATTATCAACTACAGAACACAGTATTGTTAACTGTAGTCACCATGCTATGCATTAGATCCTTAGAACTTATTCGTCTTAAACTCAGTTTGGGTGCATATATACGTATTTATAATAGTAATATCGCCTTGATGAATTGACACCTTTATCATTATATAATGACCTTGTTTATCTCTTGATACAGTTTTTGGCTTAAATTCCATTTTATCTGATATAAGTATAGATACTCCTGCTCTCTTTTGGTTTCCATTTGAATGGAATATCTTTTTCCAACCCTTCGACTTGAGCCTATGTGTGACCTTAGAGCTGATGTGAGTCTCTTGTTGGCAGCATACAGTTGGGTTTTGGTTTTTGTTTTGTTTTTAAATCCATTCAGCCACTCTATGACATTTGATTGGAAAATTTAATCCATTTTTATTTAAAGTGCTTGTCCATAGGTAAGGACTTATTAATACAATCTTATTGTTTTCTGGCTGTTTTGTATTTCCCTTTTTCCTTTCTTTCTCATTTGCTGTCTCTCTTTGTGAATTGACGTTTTCCTTTAGTGGTAAGCTTTGATTCCCTTCTCTTTATCTTTGTGTGTCACTACAGGTTTTTGCTTTGTGGTTACCATGAGGCTTATGTAAAATACATTATAGATATAACAGCCTATTTTTGTCTGATAACAACTTTGATCATGTACAAAAACTCTACCCTTTCACTCCCCCTTCAACATTTTGTTTTTGATGTTATAATTTACCTCTTATATGTGCACCACTAGCAAATTATTTGTAGCTATATTTATTTTAAATACTTTTGTCCTTTCACCCTTATGCTAGAGTTAAGTGATCTATAATACTATCATATTACAATATTAGAGCATTCTGAAATTGACTATGTATTTACTTACCTTTGCCAGTATGTTTTACAGCAGCGTGCATGTCTTTAAACTGCATGAACTGAACCTTAAATCTATGTTCAGCTTTTGAATCCTTTCTGAGTGGTTGTTTTACAGCGTTTGAAACTCTTAAAACTTTGGTTTGTATGATGAGACTCTCAAGGACACACATTCTTTTTTTTATTGTTAGTTTCAGGTGTACAGAACAATGCAGTAGTTATCCTTTTTACCCTTCACACAGAAACAACCCCCCTCCTCCATCTACTGCCCTCCCACCCCCGATATCATGCTTATCTATTACAATTCCATTGACTCCACTCCCACTCTCTACTCCATGTCCCGTGACTATCTGTATATATAATTATAGTTGACATATAATATTATTCAACATCAGCTTCAGGAATACAGTGCAGTGGTCAGGCCTCTACACTGACTATGAAGTGGTCTCCTCCACAAGACATGAGTCCATCTGGCCCCCCTAAAAAATATTTACAACATTATTGATTATATTCCCCAGACTGTCTTTTCTATCCCTGAGGCCATATTGTAGTTACCAATTTGTATTGTCTCATCCCTTCCCCTTCTCCTTCATCCCCACCCCCTCCCAACAAGCAACCCTCAGTTTTTCCTCTGTGTCTCTGAGACTATTTCTGTTTACATTTCTAATTTATTCAGTTTTTTAGATTCCACGTATAAGTGAGGTATTTGAAGGACACACACTCTTGAGTTTGATCCCCCAACCACAAAACAGTCTTTCTCTTTTGGTCTCTAGCTCATCACTTTACAATAGTGGACCAGCTACTATGAGCCCCAAAGGGTCCCATGACATTCTGAACTTGCAAACAGAAAGGCAAAGGAAGAAAGGTCATGGGATCAGAGTGTACATTGATACAAGCTTTCCAGGGTTTTTGTTATGGCTGAGATACAGGCACACATGTTCCTATGACAACTGAAGTATATGGCGGTGGAAGAGAAGGCTTGCACACTATGACTTTGGTTGGTTTCCCCTTTCTTGCTCTTTCTGACATGTCAGTGACTTTCTGAACAGGAAGAATTAAGTGTGCTGTTGTTTTAAATTTTGTTTGGAAGTTACACTGAAATATAAATTGTACATGATAACTCACTGGACATTAAAGCAGAAATTAACACCTCAAAAATTTTCCTCTCATTTACAGATGAAGACACTGAAGCTCAGAGATGTTGTTATGTCTTAGCTGGTATCTCACATGTAGTAAGCGGCAGAACTCAGTGAAAAGCCCAGGTCTTCATTCCTCCTTCCTTCTTCTGAGCAACTTGATACACATTTTACCAGGAAGAACTGGAGTCATTTCTTCTGAAGATTTAGTGATGCACACACAAATCAACATTCAGAAGCCTGCTCTGGCTTTCTTTTTTTGGGTTTTAAATACAGCATAATGGCCATTGAAAATCATTCTTCAGATTCCAGACTTGACAGTGTCCTTCAGCTCCATCTTCTCTCTTGGGTTACAAGGACATATTTCCATTTTATTGCAAATGGAACATAAGTGGGTTTACTACACAGCCAGCAGTTCAGCAAGACCACTTTAAGTTGCAAACCTTTCCAGATTTATTTCAAATGAACTTGAGGTTGTGTGTGTATATAACCATTTTCAATGGTGTGTTCCAACTGTCTTTGAATGGGCTATGGACAGTTCTCGGGTGGTCTCAAACTGTAAATTTATACACTCTGTATTATTTTCATTTTTAGGACCAGATCTTTATGGAAAATGTAGGTGCAGTGAAGCAGCTCTGCAAACTCACCAACAACCTTGAAGAAAGAATAGAAGAGTTAGAAATATGGAACAGAAAGCTGGCCAGGCTAAAGCGGCTCAGCAGCTGGAAGTCCTCAGCCAGTGAAGCCAGCTCAGTCAGGTATACCCATGGATTGCCATAAAAATTGGAGAAAGGAGCGGAGCCTTTCCATGACTAGATCCAGCAGCAACTATTACTTTCCTATGATTCAGTCCCTCTTTTTCTTTTAAAATGTTTTGAAACACAATTGCCCTATATGATGATTTTCATACTTTTTCTGTTGCAGCTTTAAAAATGAAACAAAACATCACACATCTGTTTAAGAGCAGTTGTTACAGAAATGCTGTATTTTAGCAAAAGGGCAGCTTCGCCTTTAACTAGGAGAGGTGGCCATTTCTAAATTTAGAAAACCATGTTTTGTCCTCAGGGGGAAAAGAAAACTTTTATTTTTTTTATTACTTAAGGAGGCAAATGCACATTTCCTAGGGTATAATTTTGAGATAAAGAGAAATGTAACATTTAATGCATTCATTTATGCTTACTAAGGTTCTTTTCCATAAAAGAAACTGTCAATTGCCTTGACATTTTCTTTTTTAAATTACCACTGTATTACAAAAAAAAAAAAGTCATATTGCTGTGTTAGTGACAACCTGGGCCTTTGTCATGTAACTCCTGGAGAGGTATTTAAATAGTAATTAATTCTTTCTTTTTCTTTTTAAAGCAAATTTAGCAGAACTGTTAGTAGGTCTTCTCCAAGAAGGACCATTCCCAAAAAACCCAACAAGGTAAATAAACTTACATTTAATGAACAGAGATGACATTTTCTATACAAAAAAGTCATTAGAGAAATTGATCAAGGTTTTTTTCTTCATGTCTTTGTTGATGGATTCCCTAATTTGCATTCTTATGTGCTCTAGGTATTTAAATACCATCCCTTTGATAGATATTAACTGGTTTATCAAAGAGAGTTTAGAGAAATGAGTGCAGAACATGTTGGTTTCACAAATATTCTGCCGGTTTTTATCTCTCGTGTCCACATCTGGTGACATTGACCAGCTTCCACCCTGCTCTGACCCTGGGTTGTCAAATCTGTGTGGACGCCTTGACCCCACCTAGTCCCTTATCTTTGACATTAGAAGATCCCAAAAGGATGTCAGTGAAACCTCAAATCCCTCTTTTCCCTTTGATATTTAGTTCTATATATGCAAATGGAGAATAGGTATTCCCTTGCTTGCAAAGGTTAAAATGTGATGACTTTATTAATGAACAGAGAACTTTCATCAAATAGGATAGCATTTACAGTAAAAAGTAAAGGTTAATCATTTATTAACTTAAAGGACACCCTGTCCATTGCAGAGACATGTCAGTTAGGGAGTAGCTATGATATTCCGTTTCTAGCTGCAATTCATAGATTGCTGTGAACGTCAGTGTGCTCCCTTTGACCCACCAGTGTCCCAAAGGTGGTCCTTCCCCCGAGGAAGATATGCATGACCTTAATCTATATCCTGTTAAGGCCTAACCTGATGTTAGAGCTATTGCCTTGGTTTACTCTCCACTCTTCATGCTATACTGCATTGAACTATTCTAAAAAGATTCAGAAAGCTGTTAATATTCTACGAAGAACTACTATAACGTTAGGCTGCTGACAAGTGTCTTGGTGTACCAATAAACATAAATGCATGAATAAATATATATGTAGAAGTGTTCTTGGGCAAGTTACTTAATTGCATTTGGGAAATAGAGATAATAATAGTATTACATCTTACAAAGACTGTTTGCAGAATTAAATGAGCTAAAGCCCTCAGCACAATGCCCAGCACATAGCAGGGTGACTCAATAAACACAAAGCATTAAAAATATTGTGTAGGCCGGCCGAGTGGCTCAGTTGGTTAAGAGCTCTCTCAGGAGTGTGAGTTCTGAGCAACAGGGTCACCGGTTCGATTCCCGGCCTGAGCTGAGCTGCTGCTGAGCTGCCAACAGGTGGCAGGATGGCTCAGCTAAAAAAAAAAGAAATATTGTGTAGGGAAGGTGCCCTTTGTACTAACCAATGGGGTGTAGGAGATGGTATCGACATCCACTGAAGCCCTGATAAATGCAGTTTGGTCATGTGCAACCTCTATAGTTCCCATCTTGTACCCAAAGAATCTCTTTATTTTGCAGCTACTCAGAATACTAACTAGATTGTACAGTCCCTGAGAGCCGGCTTCATGCCTGCCTTCCTCAAGCTGTGTCCCTGGGACTGGCAGATAGTAGTTACTCAAGAATCATTTGTCCAATGAATGCATGACTGGAGCGTTCAATCTGGAGCTATTCCTTGAAGGCTCATGATCTAAATTAAAAACATTCAGTGGTTCAGCATCTTGGGTGTGTGGGTGGGGTGGGGGGGTTGGGATGAGGACATAGAGTCAGGAAGTTATATGGGCATGAAAGAGCATGTGTTCAACTTGGAGAAGAAAAAATAAGACACAGACTATCCTATGCCTGTGAAGGTAGATAAAGGGGAGACGTGGCCCCTTCTAGAGAATTTCAGGGTAGCCAGGGGAGATCAGAAGAAAATACAAAGAGCAGTCATAGCTGGATGTGAGAAATATTGCAGAGGCTCAGAGTGCTGCAGGGAGTCTTATGGGAGCTGGGCCTTCAAGGAGGAGTAAGCTGGGCTAGATAGTAACAGGAGCTGTCGGAGAAGTTTCAGATGGAGTGGTACAAGCAAAGGTCTGGGAGCTGGCACTGCTTTTGATGAAGGAGTAGGTGGGAGTTGGTTGGCTGAAAATGTAGGTGAGGCTCAGTGTCTGTCTGGGTCACCAGGTTAAGGAGTTCATTTGGTAAGCCATGAGGACCTTTTGAATAATAACAATAATATCTAAGTTGTATAGTGTTTCATTTTTTTTACAGATGGAAAAAGGGAGGCAGCATAGCATTGTGGTTAAGAGCACAGATTCTGGAGCCAAATGTTTTTTGGTTCATATCCCAGCTGTGTGATCTTGGATGAAGAACTGTGCCTTCCTGGGCTTCATTTTCCCCCATCTCTAAAATGGGGATAGCAGTACCTGCCTCACAGGATCATGAGGATTATTGTGAGGGTTAAATAAATTAGTATATGTAAAGCACTCAGAAGAGTTTATGGCACATAATAAATGCTGTATAAGTGTTCACCGTTATTCATATTCAAGAAATTCAGAGACCCATTTTTTTAAAAGATTTTTATTGGGGAATTGGGGGGATGGGAACAGCGCTGGGGAATTGGGGAAGGGGAACAGACAAGTTGCTGCGTTTTTGTTCTTCAGTCTAGTTGTGGAGGACGTTGCTTCACTGGCCCAAGTTGGCACCATCATTGCGCTCTTCCCAGGCGAGGCAGATCAGTCGCTGGCTTCTGGATGGCCGCTCACTGCGGCTGCTGGCTGCTCACGCTGGCTGCTGGCTACACATGGTAGCCCATGGCAACCCACTGCCACAGGGGCTGCGGCCTATGCCATCGCCGTTGACTCACGGCAGCCCAGCTCCAGGTTGAGCTGTTGTTCAGCATCTTAGCTGTGGAGGGCAGTGTCACTGGCCCTCATATGTAGGATCCGAACCGGGGTCCTCTGGCGTCCCAAGCCAGTTCTTAACCATCGCGCCACTCGGCCGGCCCCAGAGACCCATTTTAAGCTGTTCCTTAACTACCACCATTCTCCATTACCCTCCCAATCAAAAGCACGATTCTGCCCTATACCCCCAGGAGGAAGCAAACATAATACTCCCTATTGGGAAAACTCATATTTAAAGAGCACCTTATTTAAGGGGACAGATAATCTCTCCTATCTGTTCAGCCAGACTTCCCAGCAATTGCGTGGCTGTCCCCCTCTTGGCCCACTCCTCATTGGCAAGTTTTTATGCCAATGTGTATCAGCCCTAAAGGTTTGTCTCATTCATTTCCTTATTTTCATATCCTCCATGGTGGTGTAGATAGCAATGCTCAATGAATGTTTGTTGAATAGAGAGAAGAATAAATAAGACACAGGCCCGTAACTGTCCTTCACAATAGGTGGCAGTATTGGGTACTGATGTGTAAGATTTAAGGAGTATTTTATGCCATAAAAATATTTTCCATGGTTTGTCATGATGCCTGAAATTCTTCCATGGAGATTTATTCCATCTTGAAGACCTTTTGATTTTCTTTCTTTTCGTTTTTTTTTTTAAGCTGAGCCATCCTCTCACCTGTTGGTAGCTCAGCGGCAGCTCAGCTCAGGCTGGGAATTGAACCAGTGACCCTGTTGCTCAGAGTTCACACTCTTGAGCGAGCTCTTAACCAACTGAGCCACTTGGCCGGCCCTATAAGACCTTTTGATTTTCAAAAGTATCCTATTAAAAAAGATGGACATCTGGGTCCTGACAGTATATCATCTGGTAGGTCGTGTTCTCTCATACACCTTCAAAAATAAGTGCTAAGTGAATGGTACAGACCATCATCCTGCAGGATGTCAGGGAAAAGAGAGATTACTGTAGCCTGGAAGTGTCAAGGAAAGGAAGCGACTTGAGGTGGGCTTTGAAAGAGCTTTGTTTTCAGGGAGGCAGAGAGGAAGAGGGAGATATAGGTCGAAGGGAGCACATCAGCCATCCCAAGGGAGCAGCAAAGATCCTTGCTGGGAGGGAGTCTTCAGGTGTCTTCAGCTGGTGTTGCCGATTTATCACTGCTCATTACTGAATCTTTTTATAGGTGTATTTTTCAGGAAAAAAACAGTCGTGTCCTAACTGGGTTTTCCAGACCTTGGTTATAACTCTCATTGCTGTGATGACATTTTGGTAAGACAAACTTCGATGTTATGCTATGTCCATCTCTTTTTTCTTCCCACCTTCCTTTTCTCAGTTATGAACCGAGGCCTCACCTTTTATTTGCTTTGAAGACAAGGAGTCCTTTAAACTGGTCACTGACCTTTTGATTCAGCTTAGAGGTGAGGAAGCCCTTTAAAAACTCATACTGTGAAGAAAATAAGCACAGCCTTTCTGCACTAAACTATGAGATGAAGCTTGATTTTGTTTTTCAATCAACTGATGTTTTTTAACAGCTCACTGTGCCTTTCACATGTGTGGTTGTATGCATGTGTGTGTATGTTTTTTTTAGTCTTGCAAACAACTTTCTCAAATTCTTTGTTCTCCTTCCTGTTTACTTGAGGGGGAAAGTGAGTAAGCAATTAGGTACAATCCACTCTCCCTTGGACAGTCATATTTATTAGGATTCTTCCAGATTCTTCAGTGGAGATTTCACACCAAAAGGACTGTGAGATTACCCCAAGAAGTACAATATAATGAAATTATAACCAAATTTACTAAGCAGTTAAAGCAAACAAATACAGGGAGGACAAAGTATTTGCTGGATGAGTACTGGGTCCCTTTTGACCTCCATCCCTCCTCTGCAGGGCGGTGGGGTCACTCCTTACTGGGAGGCAGGAGTCTTTTCAGGCCTCTGGTCTTCAGGCTGGTGCTGCCGCTGTGATGGCCTCTCAGCCTTTGAGCCCTGGTCATCTTTTTTTTTTTTAAATTAAATTTATTGGGGTGACATTGCTTGGGAAAATTATATAGGTTTCAAGTGTACCTTTCTATAATACATCATGATATATTTGACCCCGTTTGCCTTCTTCTACCACCCCCCATGAGTCCTGGTCATCTTGCCTCTGACCTTCAGGGCTTCTTGCCTGACTATTCACCTGGTGAGAAGGGTATTTCTCAATCCCTTGAAAAATGCTTTGTTGGTATGGGAAAGGACTGGCCTCTGGGCTTGTCTCAGGGGAGACAATCATTCTCAGAAGCGAAGTAAGGAAAGGTATCGGGGTGCTCTCCCTCTGCCTTCACTTAAGGCAACTTCCTAGCTATAGGAGACAGCGTGGGCCTCCCTGTCTCCTCTTCCCATTTTAACTTTTTAGTTGCTACTGCCCACTGTGGGAGGCATCCCCAAGTATTTGACACCAGCCACTACGCAGAATTCCCATTAGAAGCTACTCTCCTAAGTGAGCTTGTCTTCTTTTTTAAAAAAATTTTTCCCTCTCTCTCTTTTTTTTTTTTTTGTTTTATTCTTTTTTCTTTTTCTAAAATATTTATTTATTTATTTATTTTTATTGGGGAACAGTGTGTTTTTCCAGGACCCATCAGCTCCAGTTAAGTAGTTGTTTTAATCTAGTTGTGGAGGGCGCAGCTCTGTGGCCCATGTGGGGATCGAACTGGCAACCTTGGTGTTATGACCACTGTGCTCTAACTACTGAGCTAACCGGCCACCCCAGCTTGTCTTCTGCTAGGATTCCCAACTCAGGAGACTGTGACCATCTACCTTTGGCAGACACACTCAGCAATCCCCAGAGACAGAGTCCCATGAAAACCCAGTGGAAAGGTTATAGGAAGTCTAAATCTGATGTAAAGAGACTGCTTTTAAAATGTGCTTATCAGATGTTATGAATTCCAATATTGCCCACCAATAAGACCACAAATGGGAGGAATTAGGCTTATTATCCTGTTTCTGGCCTGTGAGCTACCTGAAAAGGGTGAAAACCAGAGTTTTCCCTGAAACAAAGAAGCAGATGGTATGTCATTCTACAATTTTTACAAGCTCTTGGACTGTGCATTGAAGCAGATGCCAGAGACAAATCAGAAAGAGTGTTTATGGATTAGTAACAGGGAGACAGAGAGTGGGGGTGTGGGAGAACAAAGTAGGGGAGACTGGACCACTGCAAGTAGTTGCCAGGGCAACACAACAAATTCTGTCGGATGGCACCTTTGTGGCTCAGCACCACTTTTCCCAGGCAGGGCTGTGCCTCCTGGGCAGTAATCAGCTATTGCAGAGAACACTCTAGGAATTCTTTTTTTATGAGTGGAATTCACACATGTGGCACATACTTTATGTGTATTGAATGATAGAAATTCACCACCTCTGATGGGGAACAAAATAATGAGGAATTGAGTCGGTAGAATCAGGTGTGAAGTCAAGCTGGTAGGAAGTCACATTAGCTCACCACATGTCATGCCCGGCACACAGTGGGGTTGTAAAGTCACCAGGCAGACTTTCTTGTGTGTCTCCTGAGACAGTTCTAAAGACTCCCCCAAGGAAGAGAATGCTAAGTGTTTGGATGTGTGAGCATTATTGGGAATAGTTTCCCAAAGCTCAGACCCTTTAAGGAAAGCTTCCATTTGTATCTATAAGCTCTGATCATCAGGAGGAAAAGCTATACTCATTATTTTGAAGCCATGTAGCGTGGAAACGGATGCTTTATTGCATTTCTTTCCTTCCTCGGTCCAATGGGGTGTACTGTACTCTGAAAAGACAGGCAGCTGGGAGATGTCAGCAGTGGCCAAAGGGTTTGGCATCCACGGCTGACTAAACCTGAGCCGCCTGTCATCTCCCAGCGCCACAGTGTGGACGCCCTCTGCTAGTGGGATGTGAACTTTGCTCTGCCTTTTTCCTGCAAGGACCAGAGGGTGGCCTCCAGTGATGTACACGCTTCCTCTTGTAATCTTCCACTAGCGACAGATGCTTCTGAGACAGCTTGCCAGGCCAGTGGGCTGCTCTGTGGAAAAATCCATCCGCATGGACTACCCCAGGAGCCTCTGAGCTCCAGGAGGAGGACAAGGGCTTTTTCTCACCAGGGCAGAGAAGCGGAACTGTGCTGGTTTCTATGGCAATTCTGCCAGCCATGGCCGCCCCTCCCCCCATCTGTGTGGCCTAGGAGAGTACATCTCTGGCCAGCTGGTTGTGTGAGATATATCTGGAATCCAATCTGCCACATAATGCTTTCTTCTTCTTCTTTCTTTTTTTTTTTTCTTAACAGTGCCTTGACGATAGTCTCCCTTTACATACTTAGCTTAAAAGATCAAAATCGTCGTACTCCAAATCTCCTTCCGAGGTGAGCATTCTAGTCTCGTTTACTTTGGGGGAGAAGGATCCTTGAAGGCCTCTTTCACAAATCGTTTTGTTCTCCTTTTTCCAGCAATATCACAAGCGCTCCAGCCTTGCCACCCACAGCCTCCTCCCTTTCAAGTAAGATCTTCACGTTCCTCATCCTCAAATCCAGCCTGTGTTGTATGTGAATTGTCGGCCAAAGAAGCGGCCTCTCAGGTTAACCTTGTCGCTTCTTTCCCCCCTGCCCCATGCCTTGCAGCACCTAATACATCTCTGGCAACCACACAGTCCTCCTTTGGAGTCCCAGAAATCACTTTCTGTGAGATCCTGCCATGTCAGGAGATGTATTGCTGCCCCATCTGGGGAATGAAGAGAGTCCTCTCAAGTCCTGTGCAAAGACAGTCCCAGGAGAAGGAGCCCCAGCAGAGGCCATGGGCAGGTAAAGGACGTTCAAAGACAAACAACTAGCGCTTTGAACCTGAGGTTTTTTTCCCCTTGTCAATATTTACTTGGATGGCCTGTTCATGGTTCCACTCTTCTATTTGGGGTGGCAAGATCTTTAAAAAAACACAAATAGACAAACTTGCAATTATTTATAATACAGTCATGTGCCCCATAACAACGATTTGATTCAGCAACGGACCACAGATACCACAGCGGTCCCATAAGATTACAAGGGAGCTGAAACATTCCTATTGCCTGTCGTAGCCATCCTAACATCTTAGACCAACGCCTTACTCACGTCTGTGGTGATGCTGGTGTAAACAAACCTATTTTGCTGCCAGTTGTATAAAAGTATAGCGCATACAATTATGCACAGTACAAAATACTTGATAATAAGTGACTATGTTACAGGTTTATATACTTGCTATACTATACTTTTTTATCATTGTTTTAGAGTACTCTTTCTACGTATAAAAAAAGGTTTGCTGTAAAACAGTATGTTCTGTTATGCCAGCAGAGCCTCATATTTACTGCTTCATTTATACAGTCATGTTTACTGCATCTCTTGATGGCATCATTTTGCCTTGTGCTTGATTTAATCTCATGTTGTTTTGTACAGTAACATGCTCTACAGGTTTGTAGCCTAGGAGCAATAGGCTCTACCATATAGCCTAGGCGTGTGGTAGGCTATGCCATGTAGGTTTGTGTAAGTGCACTCTGTGATGTTCCCACAATGATAAAATTGCCTCAAGATACATTCATATCACTGTTGTTAAGTGGTGCGTGACTATTGAATTCCCTACCCAGGGATGAAATTTTGGTTGATTCAAGTGAAAGGGTTTCATTTCTCTGTTGCCAACAAAGATAGTAATAGTTGCACAACTGAAGTAATTACATGTGGATAGGTAAATTTTTTTATTTACTTAGTATTTAAAAATGATGTAGTATCTGGGCTCTCTGCCCAAACCAGGGAGGGCAAATGTAAAAGGCTTTAGAAACTCTAAGGAGTTCAAGGTGAGCTTTAAGTCAGTGAAAAACACAAGATTGGCATTGCACTTTCAAAATATCTTCCTCCTAGACACACACACACACACACACACACACACACACACACAGATGCTTTTTAAGTATCAGAATTTTCACGTTAAAAATATGGAAACTTAAAAAAAAAGGTGGAAACTTGATCAAGGGTTAAAAGTATAATTACCTCTGTAAGAACAAATATAATACATCCAAATGTATGCTAATTTATTATTGTTTTTTAGAAATCTTCTATAAACACACATATTAAGTGTCTAAATAATAATAATGATGCAAATAATAGCAATAAATATGTATTAGTATGGTTTAATCAGATGCGATGATAACAAGTGACATTGGTCAGGTCTAATTTAAAAACAGCTGAGGAAATGCAGACATAACATGCACCTAGAACAGCGGTTCTCAATCTTCCTAATGTCGCGACCCCTTAATATAGTTCCTCATGTTGTGGTGACCCCCAACCATAAAATTATTTTC